CGCCCGCCCGCCTGCCCGGGCCTCGCCTCTGACCGCTCCCTCCGCCTCCTCCCCGCCCCGAGCCCCAGTCCGCCCGTCCTTCCTTCCCCTCCCGTGCATGATGGAAACACCATGGCTGCGGCGGCCCAGCTCTCCCTGACACAGGTAACGCCGCCTGCCCGTCGGGCTCGGTGGGCCGGTGTCCCCGGCCCAGCCCCCTCCCCCACCGTCCTGTAGTTCACCGACCCGGGCAGTTTCTCTCGCCGTGGGCGGGGTGGCCGATGGTGAGAGCGAGAGCGTGTGTATGTGTGTGAGTGTGAGACTGTGTGACTGAGGGAGGGCGCCATCCCGAGCCCGCAGCTCCGTCGCAGCAGCCGTGACCCCGCCCCACGCCCCCCTCCCCCGCGCCCTGTCCCGCGGCCCCTTCGTCCCACTGCTGAGTGGACTGTGCCCCCTGCCCTGTTCAGCCGTCGCCTGGCGCCTCTCACTCCTTGCAGCTTTCACCCAGCGAGGAAGTTTCCTCCTTCCAGGCCAGAAGTACTCCAGGTGAGCTCCTGTTGAGCTCGCGCGGATCAGCCTCACCCCCAGTTCAGCCCTCGCCCCCCACGAGGCTGGCTCTCTGGGCTATGCAGAGCGCTTCTCTTCGTTAAAAGTAACCTTCCCGACCCAGACGCCCAAGGCCCCCTTTAAGATAGCCTTTCCTCTCTAAACCGGCCTTTTCCCCCTGGAGTCCAGCGAAAGCCCTCTCTTCCCCCAGCAGTTTCCGATAGTCAGCCCCTCTTCCAAATAAGTCTTATACTCCCCAAGTACTACCCTGCTAGCCTCTTCCTGAATTCAGCCTCTTCGCCTCCTGATCAGGTTTCCTTCTGAGTTAGACCCCTAATTCCGTCTCTTTCTGCTTCCACTCTTACTGGGTGGGGGCTTTCTCTTAATCGCTGCCCACACGGGTAACAGGGAAACATCCTTCAACAGGTGTGATGGTTCCTCCAGTCTTGGCGCTGGGAAGACTGTAGAGATCACTCATTGTGGGGGAACCTGTTCTCAGGGTCTTTCCTCTTGCCTTTCTGTTTCCTTCAGAGACCAGTCCTTGTGCTTCCCAGAAAACCTTGTGCTTCAACATCATTCACTCTGGGAACCTCGTTTCTCCCTCTCTGTAAAGAAAGCCAGTTGTAATCTTCTCATGATGTTCAGGATGATGAGGACTTGCACCTGTCAGCCCCTTCCTGCTTCTCTGACCAAAACTCACCCCAACCATAAACTTCTCAGCTTGTTCTCTCCAAAGCTGGTGACCATATACTTCCCCGCAGGGGCCCATCACAGCCTTCCTTCCTGCCTTATATCTCCCTGCCACCTTGTGGTCTCCTTGGCCTAGATTTGTCAGTGCTTATACATTTGGGCCATAGAGTTTTCTGTGTTGGAGCAAAAGGCTTTGGGATATTTCACCTAGCACTCTGGAATAGAGAAACTGAGTGAGAAATGTTCTCTTTAGGAACCTGGAGTCGCATATAAACATGTGCCTCAGGTAAAATAACTAACTTCAGTTTGCAGGAATTCTGTTTCATAAGTGAAGTTTGTTTGTTTCCCAGTTTTCTTGATGTTGCTTATCCTATTTTGACAAGCAGATAACAGGGAAGAATCCTTGGAATGTAGTGGTTTAGTTTTGGTGGTGAATCTCTTTGGAGGGGTTCTCCTGAGATTTAAATTTGAGGAGTGGCAACATTGACTTTTGGGTGTTCACTTTTTATGAGTAGACTCATAACTAGAGTTAGTGACTTGCATTATACAAGATCCTGTTGGCAGGCTCTTGCTCTCTGGCTGTGTTGGCCAATTCAGGCAGGAGTTTTCCCGTCTTGAAGTTTTTGTTCTTGAAGTTTCTATAGATTTGTTTCTTAGTTGTTTGCATACTTTATTCTCTCCCTGGGTAATGTTTTTAGTTTCTGTTTACTATCATTTATCTCTGGAGATTTTCTTTAGGCTCTGTCAGTTTTACAGACAGTTAAATAATTTAAATATGTTCTTGTGGTTGTGTATTTAAATACTAACATGTACACAGAGTAAATACTGAATCAGGAATATTATCCTTAAGAGTCTCACATATGAGAGAACATACGTTGATGATTCATTTATATTGATAATTCAAATTAAGTCAATTTAGAATATTTTGATTTTAAGACATTAAGAGGCAATAAGATATATGTTAAGGGACAGAAAAAGAACCTTTTTAAGTGTTAATATACCCTAATGTGCCTCCTATTTTAAAACTTTTCTAATTTGTATTTTTTTTGACTTTTTAACTGCTTGAAGCAAATAAACTAAGGTAACATGCAACCTGGTTTCACATTCATTATTGATCTATTTGTGTCATGCCCCACCGTCCATCCCCAAATATACACACTTAGGCATACTCAAGTGAGAAATCCTCCAGGGCAGGGACATCATTTAATTCATCTCTCTTCCTCAGTGCCCATCTGGAAGAAAGTGATTAAAAACTGTCTTACGAATGACTGAAAATTTTAAAGGGCTCTATGATAGTTAAAAGATTAAACAGATGCTGGAGTTAGTTTCTGCCTCTGGTCATGAGATAATAATGACTTTGGAGTAGGTTCTTTCATTCAACAAATATTGGTTAAGTACATATTATGTGCTAGGCACTATGCTGGGATTGTCTTTATAGTTTTTTGCCTTTATCAGTTAAGCAAAACTGACAGTTTGGGGGGAAAATGTGAAAAATATTTTAATTTACTCCTTCCTTCCTCTTTCCCTGCATAACAACCAACCCACCAGCTCCCAGCCACCAAAATAAATTATTTAAATTATCATATTCTAGCTACTAGAGAGGATAGAATACTAGAGTTATAAAATTTAGATCCAGTCCTAGATCTGCCAAGAGCTAACTCTATGGCATTGAGTTAGATCTCCAAAGCCTGAGTTTTCTTAATTTTAATATTCATTCAACAAATATTTGTTTTTTGTTTTTTTTTTCAACAAATATTTGTTGAGCATTCACTGTGTGCTAGGAATTATGTGCTAGGGACTGAGGATGTAATAGGAACAAAATAAATAACAATTCTTGGAGACAAAACATGGAACTTACATTCTAGTAGGAGAATTTGAATTAGCTGATCTAAGGCCCTTTCCAACTGACATTCTTTTTTATAGATTATATTTTATGATTTGTAGCTCTAGTGGGACTTTCCCAGGGTACTTTAGTGCTGTGTAGCCTTAGTGTTTCTTCCTTCCTTCCTTTCTTTCTTTTTAAAAATTTTAAGTAGGTTCCATGCCCAGCGTGGAGCCCAGTGCGGGGCTTGAACTAACCACCCTGAGATCGAGACCCAAGCTGAGATCAACAGTTGGATGCTTACCAACTGAGCCACCCAGGTTCCCCTAGCCATAGTGTTTTCTAATTTCAGTTGTCTTCACTAGACATTCTATTTTCTTCTAATCAATGAGAAGTAAAACTTGAATGAGAAAGTTCTTGTGATTTTTGCTTGTGGTGATAGATTATAAAAAAGATATTAATACTTTCTCTCTTTAAGCTTTTCCAGTTGCCCATTTCCTCTTCAAGCCTGTATTCTTAATAATACTACTGCTATCAGTCTTTCTTACTATATGTAAGGAATGTTTACTATATACACAAGGGTATTACAATATGCAAGGAATTTTACTTCATTTAATTTAAGAATGAGGGAAGTAATTTACATGAGCTAGTAAGTAGTAGATCTGAGATTTGAACCAAGGTCTGTAGGATTTCAAAGCTGTATATTTCACTCTCTTTCTCTGTGTACAAGATGCTTGGCATGTCCAGTGCTCCCTTGTATTTTTGATGCTCTTTTTTGGTAAATGCCCTATTGTCCTAATTAGTAAACTTCTTGAGGATGGAAACCAGGTCTTTTGACTCTGAATATCCAGTGTCTTTTATGATATGTTGACAGTACAACTGTGGGTATACAAGTGGTGTTCTTGGTGATGATAAAAGTTTTATTTTATTGAAATATGACATGAGTATTTTAAATGATATTCCAGCAGTTCAGCTTTATGCTGAGGTTTTCTTGTTTAATTTAGCAAGGATTCTTTTTTAATAATAAAAAAGCCCTTAGAATGGGACTTAATTGAAAAAAATCTTAGTATATGGTCTAAACCAATAAGTGCTATAGGTATACTTTTCCTTTTAATGCTTTTTTTTTTTTTAATTGCAAGAGTGATATAACTGTATTACAGAAACTGGAAATTGGAGGAAAAAGTCTCGTAATTTTACAGTTTGTGGTGTTTATTTTCAATTTCATTAAATAAAAAATACATGATGTGTTAATAAATGTGTCATCTTAGTGGTCTGGTTTAGCAATTATGACAGTAAATATCAGGACACGATATAAAAATTACATGTTCTCAGAGGCAGAAAGAGAGTATTTAACATGATGTATTGTTTGAGTTCCTACTATGGGAAGGGCACAATAATGATATTTTCTTTTGTGCTCGCAGTTATAGTCCAGTATACTCAGGAAATCCATACTTCTTTGAGTGATATCCAACCGTTCTCAAAAATGGCTTGGAATGTTCAGCATTTGGGAGGAGTTGTCATAGTTAAAATTAATTAGGAACAGTGGGTTTGTTCAATACAGAGTCTCCCAGGAGTAACCAAAGAGTGTATTCCTTTGTTTTCACTCTATTTTCAGACAGAATGATAATGGACTAAAATATAGTAGAAAAAGATTGAGCATCTTTATTTAGTAACGAATCATAGTTCTAATCTCCTCTCTCACTAATGGTCTGATTTAAGGACTTAACCTAAGGTGTTTTACTTGCTCTTCAAGGAATTAAACAGACTTACACACTTCTTTGTTTTGTGAGTTTTGCACTTAATAATATTGGAACTCTGGAAACTAGAAACAGGAAAATGGGTTGAGTGAGAGAGAATGAAAGAGAAAGAGAAAGAGAAATATCTAGTTACTTGGAGAATTGGTAGAACTAAAGAAAAAATTAATGCAGGCAGAGTTCATTAGGTAATCCCATACACTGGAATTTCATGTTAAAGTGGTTGAACTCTCATCAACAAGATAAAATATTATGCCTTCATTAAAAATTATGTTTATTAGGAGCTTGTAATAATATGAAGAATGTTGTAATTTGAATGCTGTATTACAGCAAAGTGGAGACATTGTATTTAG